ATAAAATAAACAATTAATTATACCTAAATAAATTAATTAAAATTTAAAAAAAATTACAATTTCTAATTTTATGAATTCGTTTATAATTAAAAGTTTAAAAAAAAAATTCAAAACAACACACTGGGGAAATAAAAAAGTCATCGTTTTTTATAAATTTCTATATAGACTCATAATTATTATTATCTCGATATATTTACGAGGAATGGGGACTTTATATTGAACTTCTTTGGATATAAACCAAAGAACTTTGCAAATAATGCGATACAATTCTCGTGGTGCTTTTATATTTATATCTATCCAATAGTTTGTATTTCGAATTGGAGTTTCTGTTTGTTTTAAGTGACCCTCTAATCATGACGTTTATAGTTTCTCTCTGTTGATTTACAACTGATAATAAATATATATATTTTTTCTCAATTGAGTTTTTAGTAGTTTAAATTTAGTTAGAAATTAAAAAAAGAATTTACTTTTTTTTTTTTGAAGAAAAAAATATTAATAAATTTAGAATGGAAATTTGAAATTAGAAAAATAATTGCAACAGTCTTTTTTCTTTTTATAATTAATTTCACAATTGTGTTGAATTTTCCTCGTTTTCTCATTTCAACGCGGGTGCTGTAATTTTGAAATTGAATGGAGGCATATAAAAACGAGTAGATAGAATCTTTAATTTTACAAGTTGTTTCTCGTAAAATATATTGTATGTGTAATTTGACCACTTATGTGTGTATTTCCACATTTAATGTTCATTTATAATTTTTCTACTGTAAATATATACTGTTACAAATGGAAAAAATCATTTTTTTTTTTTATTATCGATTGACAGTCTCAACAAGGTCTTGCAAAAATTCTGATGTTAATCAAAGAAAAAGAAATTGAAAAAAAGAAAAGATTTGCTGATTAAAGTGGCTAATTATTCCTTTAGAAATTGCATTACTATAGCATAAAGTGCTTTATTGCACGCAATGAATGGAAAATTCAATTGTGGTTATTCAAATTTGCATCTCTAATAGAAATACCAACGTAACTAATCAAGACAACGATAGGGCGAATTTCCAACAGAAGCCTTGCTTCTCTAATGACTAAAAGAGTATTAATTTCTTTTATTCCCATTTTATTCGCTTTTATTCCCTTCTTTTTTCGCATCTTATTCTTTATTTTTTGATTCTCTTATTTATTTATATTTTATTTTCTTATTCCTTTTTGCTTTGTTTTCTTGTTCTTATTTTTTTTCTTTTTCTTATTCTTTAATTTTCAATGAAAAAAAAAAATCTAGAATGGAAAAGAAAAGGAAAGATAATAAATTTTTGAATAGAGACGCCTAATAGAATTTGTAAGAATAGGTTCTTATTCGATTTCAATATACCTTTTTTTTGTGGGTTATAACATTTTTAACGACGTGATTTTCTTTTTTGGATAAAAAAAAAAAAAAAATTGTTTGATTCACGGTAAAAAAAAGAAGAGAGGAATTTTATTACGCCCTGAGGAAGAAAACGTCTTGCCAGACATGAAAAGAGGAATTACGCAAAATGATCTAAGGTCACAGCTTTATGAAAAAATTTTGAAATTGCTCTCTTTTTCTCTCTTTTTCAAATAAGCCCGCGAGTATTTCAAAAGAACCACCAGATTATATATTTTTATTATACGAAATTAAATATATTATTCACTTTTTTGTGATTGAAAACAATTTTTAAATTGGTAAAATTTAACTAATAGTAAAAAAAAAAATGTTGTGGTAAAATTTAACTAATTTTCTCTTTCTCATTGAAATATGAGATTTTAATGTTTTCCAATAGGGTTTTTGCTTTGATAATATTTTCTATTTTTTAAATCGCAAGTCTTGATTTTATATATAAAATATGTTGGGATGATGTATTATATAACATGCGTGCAGTATCACAAGGCAGCACCTGGTAGGATGACAGAAACCGTTTGAAGAATGACTTGCGTGTCACTGTGCAATTTCTCAAACTATATATATATATATATATGTAGTGAGACTTGGATTTTCTAGCAAGCTTCCTGCACTATAGTCACTAAAGCAATCTGACACTGACAGAATGTACATTCTTTGTCAAGATCTATTCTCATGTCCTGCTAAATACATAAACTTCATAGACAGTTTTCCATTTCATTACTCATCTAAATTTAAAATTAAATTAAATTAAGTTATAATCCTTAAAATAGCATGTTTTTTTACCAATAAAATTTTTTTTTTTATAATTATATCAATACTATAAGAAATAAATATTTTTCCTTGTAATGCGTCCAAAATTTTGAAAAATAAAACTATAAAAAATACGGACACAGAAATCTACATTACCGACGGATGGTAAAACAGTTTTTTGGAAAAATGAAAATATAACAAATTACCGACACAGAAATCTACTTTACCGACTGACGTAAAACAGTTTTTGAACAATAAAAATATAATAAATACCGACATAGAAATCTACCTTACCGACTGACGGTAAAGCAGTTTTTGCAAAATGAAAAAATAAAAATACCGACATAGAAATCTACCTTACCGACTGATAGTAAAACAGTTTTTTCCTAAACGAAAATATAAAAAATACCGACAGAAATGTACCTTGCCGACTGATGGTAAAACAGTTTTTCAAAAAATGAAAAAAATAAAAAAATTACCGACACAGAAATCTACGTTACCGACTGACGTAAAACAGTTTTTGAACAATAAAAATATAATAAATACCGACATAGAAATCTACCTTACCGACTGACGGTAAAGCAGTTTTTGCAAAATGAAAAAATAAAAATACCGACTTAGAAATCTACCTTACCGACTGATAGCAAAACAGCTTTTTGAAAAATGTAAATATAAAAAGTTACCAACACAGAAATCTACCTTACCGACTGATGATAAAAATTCCCAGTTTTCTCAAAAAATTTACCATCAGTCGGTAATGTAGATTCCTATGTCGGTAATTTTTTATATTTTCATTTTTTATAAAACTGGTTTACCTTCGGTCGGTAAGGTAGACTTCTAGGTCGGTAATTTTTAAAATTTTTTTCTCAATATTTTTTACTATCTTTACTATCTATTAAATAATTGTATTTAGCTATCAATTAATTAATTATTATACAAAACTGCTAATTAATTATTTAATTATATATAACTGCCCATTAATTTTTTTATTATATTCAACTATTTTTTAATTATTTAATTATATTCAACTATCAATTAATTATTTAATTATTTAATTATTTAATTATTTAATTATTCGTTTAATAAAGACGAAACGTGAAAAAAAATCAAAAAACATACTTTTGCAAATTGAAAAAGAATTCCAAGAGATAGAGAGAAATTTCCTTTGTGATAAACATGAGAATGAAAATTTCACGTATTTAATAGTCGAGTGACAATAAATTCCAATCGTATTTATTGACAAATCCATTTACAAAAGCATTCCAATATAAAAAGAAAAGAAAATGATTTTCTGCAATTTCCCCTTTTCTATAGTTGACGCGCTTAAATTTTATGATAATAATGAACGTTGTCAATATTACAGACCTCGGGTATCTAATAAATTTTTTTTTTTTTCTTGAGTCGATTAGATGCGGTCGATCAAACTTGAGAAGTAGTGAAAATGAAAGTGAAAAAAGAAAGAGACAATATCATCTTATAATATAGAAAAAGTAGAAAAAAAATTAGGTTAAAATGAATTTTTTTTTTATGTATAAGAAAAAGATTGACCTGGTACGATCTTACTCCAAATGTTATACATCAGTCTTCACCTTTGCAATACCATTTTTATTTATATTTCTCACGCTATTTCTTCCAATAATCGAGTGCCATCTGGCATTGTGAGCAGTTATTTTGGCATTCAGCCAAAATAATGGCTAGACCAGTTTACATATATATGTATATACACTAAAATGGTAACATGCTGCCAAATTGACCGGATTTTCAGACAAAGGTTGGCAAACTAACTTTTCAAAATGAATACGTTTCTTAATATTTCATTTTTATAATGTCCAAATTCGAATCTTTTGATAAAGTGCTTATTATCAATGATAAATGTCTGTGAATTTACAACGAAAATCGCTTTACAAGTTTTCAAATAAGAAACTAGTTTTATTTTTTTAAAATTTATTTCAAAACTTTTAAAATTAAAAATTAATTAAAAAAAATTTTTTTTTTAATTGAAATTTACATTTGAAAAAATTGGAAATAATTGAAAAAATAACAATACCAACAAAATTGGCAGTGACATTTTATTTCTGCAATAGTGATAGAAAAGTACAACAAAACAATGGTAACAAAGAACGAAGAGCATATATATAGCACTTCTTTTGAGTGTCGAAGACGTTTTATTCTATGCAATTTTTTTTTTTTTTTTTTTTTGCGTTAAAATGGCCAACTATTAAAAAGACTCAGAGAGCGTGAGAGACTATATATCGTTCAAAGTATACCATTATGTATAGAGAAATTGTTATTAAAAAAGAACGTGCAAATTCGTCGGGAAAAGTCAAGCTTCAACAATTGGCTACAATCGAAAAAAAAGTATGGAAAAATAGAAAATAAAAAATCAATTCTCCTTTTTATTGTACAAAACGTCTTTTCTAACTGCACTCCAAGTCGACCAGCGACTTTTCGACGATTCTTTTTTTTATAAAAAAAATTTCTTTACGTCAACAGTGAAGGGAAAAATTTATTTTAAGACACGTTTGAAATTAATAATTATTGAATAATATAGTTTTTGAAAAAATGTTTTGAAAGAAAAATATTAAAAACACTATCAGAAAATAATAATTTAAATTTAAGTAAATTTTTTAAAAATTATTTAAGTTTAAAATGTTATCAAGTGTCTTAATATCAGTACATTTAGTGCTTAAAGTAAGTACATTAATCTTAAAAAATGTTTGCCCTTTAAAATAAGATTTTCTAAAAATAAAATTTTCCATTCACAATAATTCGTAAAATAGAATCCTCTCGAGAAGGTTTCAAAGTTGATATTCGTTTTTCTTTGTTATCATCATTATCATACTCGTGTCGAGAAGGGACTGGTACTTTCAACAATTGTTGGAGCATTGACAAATTTAGGTGCAACAATTGCTGTCTTCGATCCAATAGGCACACTAGCATCAGGAAAAACGTATTCCTCGAGATTTGGTGCTCCAGCGAATGGATTTTCAAATGTCCTATGTCCATGTGAATGATGTAGATGTTTCTCAAAACCATGATGATGATGATCCTCGTGATGTTTATGATGATGATCCTCATGATGCTTGTGCTTGTGATGATCGTCATGATGATGCTTATGTCCATGATGATGATCGTGTTTGTGTTTATGTCCCTCGTGATGTTTATGATCCTCGTGATGCTTGTGATGTTCATGATGATCGTGATGGTGTTTATGATGATGACCATGTTTGTGTTCTTGCTTGTGATGATGTCCATGTTTGTGATGCTCATGATGATGATGCTTGTGATCCTCATGATGATGGTGTTTATGATCCTCATGGTGGTGATGATGATGATCTTCCTTGTGTCCGTGTTTGTGATGATGACCATGTTTATGATGATGGTGCTCGTGATGTCCATGTTTGTGATGCTCGTGATGTCCGTGTTTGTGTTCTTCATGATGACCGTGTTTGTGATGATGTCCATGCTTGTGATGATGATCCTGATGATGTCCGTGTTTGTGATGCTCGTGATGTCCGTGTTTGTGATGATGTCCATGCTTGTGATGATGATCCTCGTGATGTCCGTGATGATGTTTCTCGTGATGACCGTGTTTGTGGTGATGATGATGTCCGTGATGATGACCGTGCTTGTGTCCGTGTTTGTGTCCCTCTTTGTGTTCGTGTCCGTGATGATGGTGATGACTTTCTTTTTCTTTGTGAGTGTGATGGTGATGATGTTCATTGACGTGATGGTGATCGTGATGATGGTGGTGTTCATTTTTGTGGGCGTGTTTGTGATGATGATGATGTTCGCCATGGTGTTTGTGTTCTTCGTGATGTTCGTGTTTTGAGTGATGTTCATGATGGTGTCCGTGATGATGGCCGTGGTGATGACCGTGTTTGTGACCATGTTTGTGTCCGTGTTTGTGACCATGATGATGCTTGTGGTGATGACCGTGATGGTGTTTATGATCTTCATGATGACCGTGCTTGTGTCCATGATGATGTCCGTGTTTGTGATGATGATGATGACCGTGTTTGTGATCTTCGTGATGTTTATGATCAGCCTTGTGATGATGTCCGTGTTTGTGATGATGGTGATGACCGTGTTTGTGTCCGTGGTGATGATGATGGCCGTGTTTGTGATCGTGTTTATTGTCGTGATGATGACCGTGTTTGTGACTATGATGAGCGTGATGGTGATGATCATTGTGATCATGATGACCATGATGACCAAAAGTGTTGTAATGATTTCTACTTAATTTAGAGTCTCCTATGTCGGGTGGATTTTTTAGATCAAAATCAATTGGCCCGGGTGATTCGAGGGGTGAATTATCATCAAAGTTGCCAATATTGAAATCATCAAGTTGTCGTTTTTGATGACTTCCAAATTGTTGTTCGGGTTTTAATTGTCTTATTGTTCTTGGCGGTTCTGTTGATAAAATAACAGGTTGTACTGGTTCTTGGATTGTTGCTTTTGGATCTAGTCCAGCTGTGAAACCGGCTGCTGCTAATAGCCCGAGGACCCATATTGATGTCTGTAATAACAATTTGTTTGCATTTTTTTATTATATTAATGAGATTTAAAGAAAATTCACGATCTGGAAAAAAACAAAATTAATATTTTTTAAAATTGGAATTATTTCTTTGGTATAAAGAATCAAATTTCAAATTAATAATTTTTATTTCTATAAATATAATAAAATACAGAAATATCGTAAGGACTTATAACAATAGGCACGTGAAAAATTACATACAAATGTCGATTTCTACGATACAATATCATTAATAATATCAGACTTTCCATAATTAATTAATGTATAGTGTAAACTCGGGTGAAATTATTGTGCATCACTAGGAATATTCCAGCGTCAATTCTAAGTACATTTTTTAAATCATTAGAATTAAAAACAGTCATTTAAAGAATCTTTATCATAAATGTTTAAATTTATCTCCAAATTTCAAGAGTGGTGAATTAGATATTGTCACTGGCATTGAAACACTAGCTTCGGGGAAGACAGATTCCGGTTGAAAACGATCACCAAAATTTTTGTCACCATAGAGAAGATGTTGCTCAAAGGCATGATGATCGTGACCCTCGTGATGTTTATGATGTTGATCTTCATGATGTCCATGCTTGTGATGATCGTGATGATTGTGACCGTGCTTGTGATTGTGATGATGTCCATGCTTGTGTTTCTCGTGATGTTTATGATCCTCGTGATGTTTGTGATGTTCATGATGACCATGACCGTGTTTATGCTCATGGCCATGTTTATGCTCTTGTTTATGATGATGTCCATGTTTGTGATGTTCGTGATGATGATGTTTGTGTTCCTCATGATGTTTATGATGATGATCCTCGTGATGATGGTGCTTGTGTTCTTCATGATGTTTATGATGATGATCCTCGTGATGATGATGCTTGTGTTCCTCATGATGACCGTGTTTATGATGATGTTCTTGTTTGTGATGATGTTCCTGTTTGTGATGGTGCTTATGTTCATGGCCATGTTTATGATGATGATCTTGATGATGTCCGTGCTTGTGTTCCTCGTGATGGCCATGCTTGTGTTCGTGTCCGTGTTTATGATGATGTTCTTGATGATGATGATGTTTATGTTCTTCGTGATGACCGTGTTTATGCTCGTGTCCATGATGATGATGATGACCTTGTTTGTGTTCATGTTTGTGGTCTTCCTTATGCTCATGACCGTGATGATGATGATGACTTTCGGTTTCCTTGTGGGCATGATGATGATGATGTTCATTGTGATGATGATGATCGTGATGGTGGTGGTGCTTATTGTGATGGGCGTGTTTATGATGATGATGATGTTCTCCATGGTGTTTGTGCTCCTCGTGATGCTCGTGTTTTGAGTGATGGTTATGTCCGTGTTTGTGATGATGATGATGCCCGTGTTTGTGATGATGGCCGTGCTTGTGACCGTGTTTATGATGATGACCGTGCTTGTGATCTTGTCCATGATGGTGGCCATGTTTGTGATGATGTCCGTGTTTGTGGTGATGATGATGGCCGTGTTTGTGATGATGATGAGCGTGATGTTTGTGTCCGTGATGATGTTTGTGCTCGGCTTTGTGATGATGTCCGTGCTTGTGACCATGATGATGACCGTGTTTGTGATGATGATCTTCATGATGGCCATGTTTGTGATCATGTTTTGCGTGATGATGGTGGCCGTGTTTATGATGATGGGCAGAGTGATGATGATGTCCATGCTGATGATCTTGATTGAGAAAGGTTCGTAGTTTTGGTTGTAGTGCTAAATTTTCATCTGGATGAATGCCAATGTCATTTCCTCTTAGAAATAATGGTCTTCTTATTCCACTTTCTTGTGATCCTTTTTGTGGAATTGGCAGGGACAGGAGACTTTGTCTCAATTTACCGAGGTGATGACCTAATTGTCGTCTCTGGTTGTTTTTATCGTTTCCAAAGTGGAATGATGGTATTTTTGGCTTTTGAGCTGGTTCCGATAAGATATTGTTACCGAATGGCTGTGAAAATCGAAACTTCTGGTTCTTTGATCTTGGATCTTCGCTAGCTACCAGGTTGGTTGCTGCCAATAAACCGAGGACCAATAGCCACGCCTGTAACGGTAACATAAATTTTGTTTTTAAATTCATTTCGAATATTTAATTTCAAGTAAATATTTTATTGAAATATATTAACCTGTGAGTGTCAGATGTTGAGTGATAGTGTCGAGTGTGCTGATATTTGTTGCGTTTATGTTGTATTTCACTTTTGCTATTCACTTCACGTTATAAATTTTTGTTTTAGTTTTTCACTAAATTTTTCCTAGTTTTTGCAATTTTTCACTCGTTTTTTTCAAATTGTTTTACATTAGGGACTAAAGATTTTTTTAGTTCAAAGGTTATTTAGTATAAAAAATAAATTATTACTACTCTTTTTAATTTTTATACAAATAATATATTTACATATATTACAATTACTAACTACAATATCTAATTTACTAATACTAATAGATATTTACTAATTAATATATTAAATATTAATTTCTCTAATAGTATTTAATAAGATGCAACTATGTTGGGGTAAAAAAAATTTATTAGACTTACCACTAATAACTAATAAAAGAAAAACAATAATAGATAAATTCATTACTTGAAAAGATGTTTTACATTTCTCTGTACCAATTTTATGATAATGAAAAATTGAATCCGCTTATTTTTAAAGTTCTCTTTATTAAAAATATGTCGATGACAATTTGATATCGATTGATTTATATTTGTAAGGCATGTGCCAAACTTATTTCAAAGAATATAATTTAATTTCTTTGAATGAGCTAAAATAAATTGAAATAAGTAACTAGTACCTCAAGTTATATAAAAGTATTGGCAATCAATATGATAGGAAGCAGTTTATAATTCATGTTCTCTCTCGATATCAAAACTATGGCATATAAACCCACAGGGTTAAGATTGAATTACACATCTTTTCATATAAGGAATAGTAAGAAAATTTTAATCAGTCTCTTCAAAAATCGTCTCAAAAAACCATTTTAAAGCTACTAAAAAAATTTTAATTAATTTTATTTTAATACCTTTAAATCAGAATATTTAGTAAGTAACGATTTTTAGCCAATTGCAAAAATAGTACTTTAAATAATTAATTTCTTGAAAATTAATTAAATTAAATTAAATTAATTAATAATAAAATTGAAAAATTGTCAATTTTAGAAATACGTTATTAAAATTATAACCTAAAATCGTAACGTAATTTCAGTTCTTAACTTTTAACTCGAATAATGAAGGCACTATTCTTCTTTGTTGGTTTAACTTTTGTTAGGTTAATAGAGGTTCGGTTAAGAGAGGTTGTTACAGTAATTGGTGCGTTTGTAGTAACGGAAGCGGATACAATGGATGAACTTGCTACAAGAGGTGTCCTTGCTACATTAGGTGCGCTTGCTACAATCGGTGCACTCTCCTCAGGAAAAATATATTCACCCGAGCCACTTGCGTACGAAGCAAAATTATTATTATTATTATTATTATTGTTATTCTGATTGCCAAGTATGTAGGGATTATATTTCTCGAGAATATTATTGATATTAAATCCTGCATAAGTTGGATGAATAAGTTCATGATATTTCTGATGATGATTTTTCTCAATTCGTTGACCGTGTCCATTATAAAGACTGTGACCATTATGATGATGATGATGATGTCCATTCTCATGATGATGATTATGTTCATGATTATGTCCATGATTGTGATCATGATTATGACCATGATTGTGTCCATGATGATTATGTTTGTGATCATGTTCATGATGATGACCATGATGGTGTCCTTCATGATGTTTGTGATCCTCCTGATGTTTGTGTTGCTCGTGATGATTGTGATGATGTTTATGATCATGATTGTGTTTATGTTCCTCTTTATGAAGATGTCCGTGTTTATGATGTTGATGATGTAGATGCTTGTGATCTTGATGATGTTCATGTTTGTGTTCCTCCTGATGATTGTGATGATGTCCCTCGTTGTGCCCGTGTTTATGATGATGACCGTGTTTATGTTGATGTTCCTCGTCGTGATCGTGTTTGTGAGATTCTTGATGTTCGTGTTTATGTTCTTCATTGTGATCGTGTTTGTGTAGATGTCCGTGTTTATGATGATGTCCCTCGTGATGTGAGTGTTTGTGTTCCTCTTGATGATTTTGCTTATGATCGTGGGCATGATTGTGATGATGATCTTGTTTATGCTCGTGTTTGTGTTCCTCTTGGTGGGCGTGTTTATGATCGTGTCCATGTTGATGTTGATGTTGCTCTTGATGCTCGTGTTTGTGATCCTGTTTGTGCTCGTGTCCATGATGATGATGATGCGTTTCGGTTTCCTTGTGGGTGTGATGATGATGATGTTCGTTGTGATGATGATGCTCGTGATGATGATGATGTTCATTGTGATGGGTGTGTTTGTGATGATGATGATGTTCACCGACGTGTTTATGTTCCTCGTGATGTTCATGTTGGGAGTGATGTTGATGACCGTGATTGTGATGATGACCGTGTTGGTGGTTGTGATTGTTTTGATGTTGGTGGGTGTGTTGATGATTGTTGTCGTGTTTGTGATCGTGATTGTGTTGTTCATTGTGATTTTCGTTGTGAGTGTGATGATGATCTTGATAGTGACCGTGTTTATGTTGATGATGGGCTTGATGTTTGTGACCGTGTAGATGATTGTGTTGACTTGAGTGTCCATGATGATGAGCGTGATGATGATCGTGTTTGTGATCATTACTGGTGAGATGATTGTTTCCATGATAGAAGCCATAGTCAGTGAAATGTTTTTTATTGTAATTGTATCCAGTGGTTTTATGATTGTACCAAGGCATTTCGTAATAGGTACCATAATGATTTCGTTTCTTGAGAATACTATTGGGTTTTGTGATAATTGACATTTTTGCCGTTGGTGTGTTATTTGCCTTGATTAACATGGATTTGAAGCCTCTTTGATAGGGTCCTGGCGTTACGAATGAAAGAGATTGAAAATTTCCAAGTCCTAAATGACCCAGCTGTCGCATGTAGGAAATATTTTTTGACGATGGAACAATATTGTAAAATGGTTGTTGATTCCTGAGATGGATGATTGGTTGTAGTTGTCTAGGTGCTCTTAGTGTTACTATTTCTATAAATGGATGCTGCAATGACTTCTTATTGATCATTGTGAGATCTTGGGCAGTTGTTTGGCAAGCAGCAGCCAGGATAAGAAACCATTCCTGTAATAGTGATATTACTGATGTAGGAATAATTAACTACTGTATTTAATCTACTGCTACAAAAAATACAACAACAAATAATTTGCACTAATTTTATAAAATATTTTCTAAGTGAGTGCAATTCAAACTATTATCTAATTATAAATTAGTAATACAATTATTACGATATCATTTACGAAATATTCAACTTGCATAATTACTACTTAATAAGCCTAATTTTTTTTTTTTTTTGCTCTAAATACTGATTTACAATCAAGTTAAATGATTTACAACTTACCCCAAATAGTGTAAACTCGTCCTTAAGTGATAATGTCCAGTATTAATTAAGGAAAAAAAATTTGCACTCTTTTATTTCGGTTCTATATATATAAATTGAACCTTCTTGAAAATTATTTTTTTAATATCATTTTATTTAATATCAGAGGTTGAATTAAATTCACTTTTGGACAGGTTCACTCTACGTTTATTTTTAATTTAGTCGAATTAATTAAAAATAATTTTTGGCTTCCCATTATATATATTCAGCAAGAATTAAATTTAATCGAAAAATACATTTACCTTGGATTTAAATATTAAGAATAGAAATGAAAATGCAAATTCTTAGTCATCTTGCGTATTTTCAATAGGTGAGTTCTAGAAATGATGATTTGAATATATATATATATAGAATCAACACTCTGATGAGGACTTTAATGAAATAAAGTTTCGGTAGAAAATTCACTTTTGAAAATTAAATTTTCATCACGTGTTGTATTTAATTAATTTAATCATAAAATACTATTTCGAAACTGGATGGTTTTAAATAAAATACTTTATTGTTAATAACAGTTATTAGTGATTAATAATCATTGTTATTAATTAATAATTGTTATTAATTATTTTTAATTCCTAATAATTGTTTATTAAGAATTATTAATTAGCAATAATTTTAAATTATTATTAATTTAATTAATTATTATTAATTAAATTAATTATTATTAATTAATAATAATTATTAATTCTTGAACATTATTATTTTGTTGAAATATCCACTTGTTCGATTCTCATTATGTTGTAATTGTCTCTTGCTCTGTCTCATTGACTTTGACGGAAATATTAGAAAGAAAATAGATATTATATTTTATCTAATTGCAAAGACGAAAGTAAAATTCTAGAAACGAACACTAATAACGGAAGTGATAATATTTTCACAATTCTCTAAACCGGAAAATAATTATAAAAGTGAATTAAATATTTAACAATATTTGTTGTGTAAGTAAATTTTATTTGATATCAAGATTTTTATTAGCGAAAGTAGTAGTGGTAGTAGTAGTAGTAGTAGTAATAGTAGTAGAAGTAGTAAATCTTTGATTATTACTGTTGAAAGTGATAAATTTTTTTTTTGTCAGATAATTGTTACTCCCTCGCTTTTCGCTTGAACGATTTGCAGTAAAATCCCTTTCTTGTGATTACAACAGCAGTTTTGAGGTTGTGTAAACGGTTATTAAATTTTAATAGGAATTTCCCCATTAAATTATGTTAATTTTATACAATGTTTGTTTGACCCTATAAACTGTTATATGTCACACAGGTATTAATATCAAAATGTTGAAGGAAAATTTGATTTTCATTGGTTATTTTTGTCACGTATGATAATATATTATTTATAATATTTTTTATAACATTATTCTTAATATTATTTTTAATATTATTTTTAATATTATTTTTAATATTATTTTTAATATTATTTTTAATATTATTTTAAATTTATTAATTATAAATTTTTTATTTACCGCATTTTTAACCAATCGAATTTTATCCAATTTTGTACGTTTAAAATTTTTGAAAATTTAATTTTTCAAAAATTATTAGTTACATTTATGTAATATTTAATACTAGGTGAATTTTACTTAAAATTTATTATTTAAAAGCACTTTTTTAAAGAGATGTTTTAATTAATTGTATTGTATTAAAAAAAAGTATTAAAAAAAAAATTGCAGTTAATTTTCCAGTAATAGACAATTGAGTGTTTATTGTATGATCAAATTTTTCGTTGAATTATTAAATATGCACGTATTTTTAGATATGTCATTGATATAATTTTTGAGTAAAAATAAATTCTTTTTTTTAAATATATTTTTGTCTCTCGGAAATCGGATAAAATGTCATTTTATACAGCTTCATTTTTTGAAATAATTCATTATTATTTGAGACAAGATAAGAGAATTTAATTATATATTACGATCGATTTTGTATAATCACATTTATAAATCCGAGATGTTCACTAATTATTCACTCGATTTTATATTTCAAGTTCCGATGTATTAATTTTCATATATGTTATATTATATATGCTTATTGTGTTTCTCGATATAGTTATATTATATTACACGAAAGTGAAGAAATGAAAAATTTTAAATATTAATTAAACTTTAATAATAAACATTTTTTTTTCCGATTTCCGGGAATCCAAAATAACATCACTGAAACTTACCCACGTAGCCATGTCGCCGTGTTTGGGGTGCAGCCAGCGAACAACTGGATGCCAAATATCATGAACAATGAACTTTTATAGAGACTATTGCTCACGGGGTACTTTCTTCCGTGCTAAGGTACCAATGTCGTTTATGAGGCGACAAATATCTTAATTGTTGTCATAATGCGCGTCGAAGCGGGACCAAACTGTTATAAATCTAGAGAAGGGAGATTTTGTCGCAAAAAGTCATTCATTCATTCATAATAATTATTATCATTATTCTAACCAAGAGGATTTGTTATTGAAACGGAAATCATTCGTGAGTTTAGTAATCTTACTTTTTTCATAGAATAAGAATTTGTAATTCATTTCCTATATATATATATACAAAAAGGAAAGTTTTTTTTTCCCTTCATTTTTTTTTAGACGCACATATTTGTGTGAAGTTTATAATTTTTATCTACATTTCATTTTATGAGAGGAAAATAAGAATTCATTGGGTGCTTTTATGGGTTTTCATGTTGTTTGTCGAACAAAACATTGCGATCATTTTGTAGATATATGAGTAGAAGCTATAAATAATTTTATTGATATTAAAAAAAAAAAAAAAAAAACAGTATTCCGATTGTAATTTGGATTTTATTGTTATTATGGGATTGCACTTTAATATCGAAACGCAATACCACTCTTAGGGAAAATATTAAATTAAATAATATATGTATTGGATTATAAAAATATTGTAATGATTTTTTTATTGTGATAATTTCACTTTTTGATATGTGAATTTTAAAATATTGATGCAAGGTAATTTTTATGTTTTTTTTATTGAAAATTTTATTTTATTAAAATTCGTATTTTTGAAAGTATCGAAGGTATAGGAAGGGATTTCTTATTTGTAAATTTGTTTATAGAATAAATGTAATCGATTTTGGAGAAATGGAAAAGAACATCTATATACATGTTTTTTTTTTTTTTTTTTTTTTTCATTCGTAAAAGTGTAATGCTCACTCAGCGTTTTTGGAAGCAGTCAGCTTTTGTGAACTATCATGCACGTGGAATCAAGCGAAAGGTAAATCTAGCATCGATAGTAAATCCAGGCCCGCGTGGTTAAGGTACATATACCTAAACCGCACTTCTACTTCCGGTACCCACAGCGATTCCTATGCCCTCGAATGCCTCGTAAAACTTCTCCCCCAAGACCATGCTCCAAATACTGAAGATTCTCGAAAAGAGTCGCTTAGAATGCAGCATCTGTTTTCCTCCTTTTCGATATATATATAGAACTACTATTTGCGAATAGTTGTTCGAATAATTTTTATATTTATTTTAAAAATTAAGAATTTTTATTTTATTTGTTATTTTATTTATTTGTTTCAGGTCGAAGGAAGAAAAGGAAAAAATGGAATGGTCCTGCTGCTGCTATTTCCAAAAGATCGGTAAGTTTGGTTTGAATAATAATTTTCCTCTTAAGATGAGAGTACCTATTTTTTCGGTGTGGAAAAGAAAAGGTTTTTTTTATTTTTGATGAATTCTCGTAAAATTTGTTGCAGAATTTTTATGAAAAATTTTTTTGCAGAGAAAGGGATTTTCACATAGAAAAAAGATATCACTGAAACAGTGAATGTTTTTACTGGAATAGGGAAAGATTTAACTGAAACAATAAAAATGTTTGCTTTTATAGGTAAAATTTTTTTTTACCCACGAAATTAAGATTTTGAAAATAATTTTTTCGGTATTTTATTTCGCTGGTTCAGGAAAATCATTTTTACCTACAAAATTTGGATTTGCAAATTTTTTCGGTAATTTATTTCGCTGTTTAAGGTAATTATTTTTTTACCTACTAATTTTGGATTTACAAATATTTTTTTCGGTATTTTATTTCGCTGGTCCAGGTAAATCTTTTTTACCTACAAAATTTGGATTTGTAAATTTTTTCGGTAATTTATTTCGCGGTTTAAGGGAAATATTTTTTTACCTACTAATTTTGGATTTACAAATATTTTTTTCGGTAATTTAATTCGCTGTTCCAAATAAATTTTTTTTACCATCCAAATTTAGATTAGCAAATGTTTTCTTTTTTTCTGTAATTTATTTCAATCCGTTACAAATATAGACATATATTTATATAGAGAGAGAGAGAGATGAAATAAAACGAAGTGCATATAGATAATAAATGAAGAAACTAAATCGATTTTATTTTATCGACTTGCAAACAGCTTCCGTTGTATAGATCCCCGTAAAAATGGGAAATGGCAAGAGATTTTGTTACCCTTATGGAAGATTTCGTGTTTTTTTTTTACTTTTCTTTTTTTTTTTCTTTTATATACAAATGGCTCGTCTATGTTTTTATGGTCGATTTATACGCACACGCGTCATACCATTTCGTAAAATTTATATGTTCACGTACGAACAGTATATATACGTTCTTATAAGTTTATGCGACGCCTGAAATGCGCAGCTGTTCTATAGGTAAGCACCACATAACAGTGGTGTTCTTATTGCTGCATAAAATCTGCAGAGTTTCGAAAGAGAGTGAGATAAAGCAAGTGAGAGAGAGAAAGAGAGAGAGAGAGGAGAAAAAGAGGGAGAAGGGAATTGAAGCTCAAAGCGTACCAGAAACTGTCAGAATGTGAGATACGGCATTTCATAGAAACAGCAATTGGAAATCGATAAATATTATTACCCTTCAGAATTCGATAGATATTCGTGACTAACCTCATCTCTTGTAACGCAAAAAAGGAAAAAAAAAGATTCAAGATTTAGAATCTTGGTATTATTTAGATACTTGAATACATTTATTCCTTTGTTATTGCACTTTCGTGACTAATATCGCTTTGAATTTTGAAATAACTCACTTTTTGATGAAAGAAGTGAAATAAAATAGTTTTTTTTGTATTTCAAATACAGAAAAGAAATTATTATTCAAATAGCATAATGACTCAATAAGTAGTAAAAATTGAGCTTTACTGCGTTAGAAAAGTGTTGCGGAATTACTTTTCCATTTTTTATAACTTTTGTCCAATTTGGTATTTTATCTTTTGTTCTTTCTCTCTCTCTCATTATTTTTATCCATTTTTGTTATTGTAACTTGTTCGAATTTTAATTCGTTTCATTTTTTCCATTTTTGTTATTTTAATTTTTTTTCTTATCGTTAATTTTTTTTTCCTCCTTTTGGTTGGAAAAAGAAAGAGAGAAAAATATGTGAAATTCGAGTAACTATCACTACTATATAGTGCACATTTATGACGTCAATAAAAAGTGATAACAGACTTCTATGACACCGGAAGTTCCTTCGGGTCAATGCATTTCCCAGCTGGACAGCGTTGTCCCAACGAGAGAGAAACTTCTTTTCTCTTTATGTTTCCCATCAATAAAGTCAATAGAGAGACAAACCACTTGCATATACGCGTCTTTTCTTTTTCACGTTCAATTGTTCGTTGTGTGGCATTATCTTCTCATTTTTCCCTTTTATTATTATTTTCGCATCTACATTTCAAAACTATTCCATCGAATAAGGTAAAAAAAACTATTTTTTAAATGTGTTTTATCATGGAAAAAAAATTTGCTTCTATTTATTAAATATTTCTTTATTTAAAAAAATATATTTATCAAATATTTTTTAAAAGATAAAAAAAAACTTTTCACCTTTTTTTTTAAGAGATGTGCTTCGATTTGAAAATTGTGACATACATCTGGAAAAATGATGTGAAACTGATGACAGATAAAGTTAGGAATTTGCTTCTCGTTTTTTTTCTTCGCAAAAAGTTCATTATTTTCCGAGTACATAAACTTTCGTCTTTTTTTTCGTTGCTTTTTTTATGTATCTATCAGAAGAGTACGACGATCTTGCTAAAACCTCTAAAATCGACTTATCACTCAAGGAATTACACATTTACGTCTTATGGGAATTTTTTCCAACATCTTTCAATTATATCTTTACGAGTAACAGAGAATGAGTGAGAGAGAGAGAGAGAAATTCAACGGTTACACTCTCTTGAAGCCAATTCAATTAAGGCGGTACTTTGACAGAGTCGAGATGAATGGCATTTGGAAGATTTTATGAGCACTGGATTCTGTATCTTGTTTCTTTGTAGCGACGCGAAACTGTACTCTAAGAGTCTAATTGAACGTTTTAGGAGATTAGCCAGCATGTTTTATTTCCTTTTGGACATTTGTCAAAAATTAATTTTTTTTTTAATTAATTTTTTTAAATTTTTGATGACGAGTTGCTGTTTTAATGTTCCTTTCAATTTTAGAATCACACAATGTTAAAAAATTTTTTTTAAAAAGGAAAAATAATGATTAAAAAACTAAAAATATGAGAGAAGGGTTTCGTGGACAATATTAATATTATCGTTGCTAAGGAAAAAAAATTTTTTAGCAACCGTAGTTAAGAAAAAAAATCTTTAGCAACGGTTGTTATTGAAATGGTTGTTATGGTAACGGTTGCAATGGAAACGGTAGTTATGGTAACGGTTGCTATGGAAACGGTAGTTATGGTAACGGTTGCTATGATAATGATTGTCATAGAAACGGTTGCTATGGTAACAGTTGTCATGGAAACGGTTGCTATGGTAACAGTTGTCATGGAAACGGTAGTTATGGTAACGGTTGCTATGATAATGGTTGTCATAGAAACGGTTGCTATGGTAACAGTTGTCATGGTAACTGTTGCTATGGTAACAGTTGTCATGGAAACGGTAGTTATGGTAACGGTTGCTATGATAATGGTTGTCATGGAAACGGTTGCTATGGTAATAGTTGTCATGGTAACGGTTGCTATGATAATGGTTGTCATGGAAACGGTTGCTATGGTAACAGTTGTCATGGAAACGGTTGCTATGGTAATAGTTGTCATGGAAACGGTAGTTATGGTAACGGTTGCTATGATAATGGTTGTCATGGAAACGGTTGCTATGGTAACAGTTGTCATGGAAACGGTTGCTATGGTAATAGTTGTCATGGAAACGGTAGTTATGGTAACGGTTGCTATGATAATAGTTGTCATGGAAACGGTTGCTATGGTAATAGTTGTCATGGTAACGGTTGCTATGATAATGGTTGTCATGGAAACGGTTGCTATGGTAACAGTTGTCATGGAAACGGTTGCTATGGTAATAGTTGTCATGGTAACGGTTGCTATGATAATAGTTGTCATGGAAACGGTTGCTATGGTAATAGTTGTCATGGTAACGGTTGCTATGATAATGGTTGTCATGGAAACGGTTGCTATGGTAATAGTTGTCATGGAAACGGTAGTTATGGTAACGGTTGCTATGATAATGGTTGTCATGGAAACGGTTGCTATGGTAACAGTTGTCATGGAAACGGTTGCTATGGTAATAGTTGTCATGGAAACGGTAGTTATGGTAACGGTTGCTATGATAATAGTTGTCATGGAAACGGTTGCTATGGTAATAGTTGTCATGGAAACGGTAGTTATGGTAACGGTTGCTATGATAATAGTTGTCATGGAAACGGTTGCTATGGTAATAGTTGTCATGGTAACGGTTGCTATGATAATGGTTGTCATGGAAACGGTTGCTATGGTAATAGTTGTCATGGAAACGGTAGTTATGGTAACGGTTGCTATGATAATGGTTGTCATGGAAACGGTTGCTATGGTAACAGTTGTCATGGAAACGGTTGCTATGGTAATAGTTGTCATGGAAACGGTAGTTATGGTAACGGTTGCTATGATAATAGTTGTCATGGAAACGGTTGCTATGGTAATAGTTGTCATGGTAACGGTTGCTATGATAATGGTTGTCATGGAAACGGTTGCTATGGTAACAGTTATCATGAAAACGGTTGCTATGGAAACGGTAGTTATGGTAACGGTTGCTATGATAATGATTGTCATAGAAACGGTTGCTATGGTAACAGTTGTCATGGAAACGGTAGTTATGGTAACGGTTGCTATGATAATGGTTGTCATGGAAACGGTTGCTATGGTAACAGTTGTCATGGAAACGGTTGCTATGGTAATAGTTGTCATGGAAACGGTAGTTATGGTAACGGTTGCTATGATAATAGTTGTCATGGAAACGGTTGCTATGGAAATAGTTGTCATGGTAACGGTTGCTATGATAATGGTTGTCATGGAAACGGTTGCTATGGTAACAGTTATCATGAAAACGGTTGCTATGGAAACGGTAGTTATGGTAACGGTTGCTATGATAATGATTGTCATAGAAACGGTTGCTATGGTAACAGTTGTCATGGAAACGGTTGCTATGGTAACAGTTGTCATGGAAACGGTAGTTATGGTAACGGTTGCTATGATAATGGTTGTCATAGAAACGGTTGCTATGGTAACAGTTGTCATGGTAACTGTTGCTATGGTAACAGTTGTCATGGAAACGGTAGTTATGGTAACGGTTGCTATGATAATGGTTGTCATAGAAACGGTTGCTATGGTAACAGTTGTCATGGTAACTGTTGCTATGGTAACAGTTGTCATGGATACGGTTGTTATGATAATGGTTGGCCTGGTCCACGAAACCCTAAAAATAGGAAACAAAAAATAAAGATTAAAAAAGGAAATAATAAACGAAAAATAAAAATTAAAAAAATAAAAATAAGAAACGAAAAAGAAAGATTAAAAAGAACTAAAAATAAAGGCAAAAAAGTAGAACTAAAGATAAAGAAAATGCTTCTCATCGCGCTGAGAGAGAAAACTGCAGAAGCTCTTCAGTTTAAAGTTGACATTTTTTCTAAATTAAGATTTTCATTATTTTGCTCAGTAAATTGTCGTTGTTCCAAGCACACAGGAGGTGAGCAGATATTCTTTTATTTTATGTACCTATATATATATATAGAGTTTCGTGTCATTTTCTTATCTTTGTAAACACGAGGAAATTTTTGTTTCTCTTTTTTCTCTCCCCCCCCGTTCTCTTGGAAAAAAGGTGGTCAAGATAAAGAGGTCTCTGGCAAATAGGCGCGAGATACACGATCGTAAAACAACTGGTACGGAAGCATGAGATTCTGTCTTGTTCCTTCCTCGCTTTATTTTCTCTCTCTCTCAAACCCGAGACTTCAACTCATCCTCACCTTTCACTATATAACGTCCAACTTTCTCTGAAATGAGAGGGGAGAGGGTGTTTGAGAACATTGCACACAGTATGGAATGAGAAAGTTTTGGGGAATGAGAGAAGGATGATGATGAGGGAAAGGGTGAGAGAAAGAGAGAGAGAGAGAGAGAGCAAGAGGGGGTAAAAGTTTTACTAGTGAGGGAGGATTTGAGTAGAGAATAGGTGACGGAGAATTCGATGTTTAGCAGACGTTATCTCACCACAATGTGCCTGATTACGGAAACGCCTTGAAACCATTAGCTCTCTAGAACTATAGATATATATATATATATTGTGAGGAATTTTCTTCTTGTCTCTTTCTCCCTCAACTCCACCCTTCTCGTCTACACGATTTGTGGAATTCAGTTTGATTGTCGACATTTGATGAAATTACTCCTGTACACAGCATCCATCTTTCTCTCTCCATCTCTCGGGATCGTCCTTCCTCATCTTGTTTCGAAGTGCTTCAATCGATATAGAACTATTGTACATGCTTATAGTACTCAGCATCTTAATGCATCTATATATATATATATATATATGTATAGAGTACCTGTAAGTGGATGAAGCTAAGCAACAAGGTATTAAACCGCAACATAATCAGAATTCAGTTAATGCATCGAATTCCCGACATGTTTTTGAACGATTTAGCTCCTATATAGATTTAGTTCAGTGAATTAACTATTTATGCTCAATTCGAAATTAATTGGTTCTTTTTGTGTTTGAATTAATTTTCTAAATAGGGAAATTAATTTCAATTTTGATCCTTTCTTCATTTTCCAGTTGAGTGTAAGGTGTGTTTTCAAGATTTTTTTTGTCATTCGTTCAATTTAGGGTCTAATTTTAAAGCTGCATTAATTTTTATCGCGAAAATTTTGAAATAAATTTCTAAATTACCAAAAGATTGAATATATACAACAGATGGCGTTGCGTTAGTTGGAACAATTAAATAACAAACAAATTAACTATACAGGCTTCATTTGAAATTAATTTTATTTCATTAATTGCATAAAAAAAGATCGTTAAAAAATTAACAAGATGGTAGAAAATTTTGAAAAATAAAAGTGTAAAAAAATTACCGACTTAGAAATCTACCTAACCGACTGATGGTAAAACAGTTTTTTTTGTAAAAAATTAAAATATAAAAAATTACCGACACAGGAATCTACCTTACCGACTGATGACAAAATAGTTTTTTTGGAAAAGAAATTATAAAAAATACCGACATAGAAATCAACCTTACCGACTGATGGTAAAATAGTTTTTTTTTGAAAAATGAAAATATAAAAAAATACCGACATAGAAGTCTACCTTATCGACTGATGGTAAAAAAATTTTGAGAAATTTTTTTAGGAATGTTTTACCATCGGTCGGTAAGGTAGATCTGTACGTCGGTAATGTTTATATTTTCATTTTTCAAAAAAAACTGTTTTGTCATCAGTCGATAAGGTAGATTTCTATGTCGGTATTTTTTATATTTTCATTTTTTAATTAAAATAGTGACTTAAATTAATTAATCGTTAATTAATTAAGGCTCTGTTCAAAATTAATTATATTTCATTAATCGATTCTTTATGTTTTTAATTTGGGTAAATTTTCTTTTCAGTAAATTTAAAAAAAAAAAACTGCTACTAATTTATGAAAATCGCTCATCATCAAATTTTTCTAGCGTGTTTTTTTCTTGCTTTCGTGAATTTTACAAAATTACAAAAAAAAAGAGCAAAGAATGCAATATTCGTTTTGTGCGCTCAATGTGAAACTGACTTCTTCCAGACGTTCGCAGAATTTCCCAGGGAAACTCGAGTATAACCGCGCGCTTTTAGAGAAAAGAGATAGAGAATTTCTTCAACAATGCTATCCAAAGTGTGACGGGCAGACGATCGCAGGTATTTTAGCACACTTTCCTAGTCGCCGTTGCAGTAGACATTACCCCGATAATTGCAGACTCGTTTTTGCAAAGCGCACTGAGTGAGTTCCACCCCCCACCCCCCTTTTTCTCCCCCTGAAAGAGGGTAAAACTCGAAACTTCAACCTCTTCAGGAATGAACGCTAATTGAAACCTCACTAGCATTTGTTCCTTCCATTTTCGTCTCATTGAGAAACAACTAATGTTTAAAATTATTTTTCTCTTTTTTTTTTTTTGTTTATATTTTTCTTTTAATGGAAATTAGAATTTTCTTAAATATTTCCGAGTAAAAAAAAATTTACAGGCTAATGGAATTTAGTTTAACACTTTTTTTACTGTTTTAAGAAAATAAAAAATTATATAATAATAATATAATTTATTAAGGAATATATTATCTGTATTATTGAAATTAAATTCGTGGTTCTGTTTTATAAATAAGAGAATTATTTACTTAAATATAAGAATAATTAAATAAATAATAAAATAAATAATAATCGGTTGGGTCTTTATTGTATTTTCCAGGTATAGTGGAACAAAGCAATAACTCTGCGAGCGAATTCTTGTGTCCATCTTGAGTTGACCTTCATTTGTGAACTAGACCTCGGGTCGAACATAGCAGGTCATAACCGGTAATAAATAAAATTCATAAATAAATAATTTCAGTTTAAATTCTGCTGCGAATAAATTTTTGAACATTTTCGTGTGCGCGTATTTTATTTTCTAAAAATCGCGAATAATTTTAGTATTTTTAAAGATATTTAAAAAAAAATTTTGTTTTATTTTTTTTCTAATTATCATTTCTTAAAAAATTTATTTTTATTTCGGGAGTGTTGGAATTTATTTTCAAACGCGATCGTATTAAAATGTATCTAATTTTTAAATTTTCCTTTTTTCGATTTTAAACCCCCCCCCCCCACGTGGTCCCGGGAGTGTTCGAATTTTCTTAAAACCGCGTTCGTTCGCTATAAAGTATGTAACCCTAATTTTATCGCATAGTATTTTATTCGAAAAATTTTAAAATCGCGAGTGTTTTTTTTCTAATTTGAAGGAAGGATGCCACTACAGAAGAATGGAAAAGAGCATTCGTTTAAGGTAGAATTTTTCTAAAAATAGTTATAATATTATTAGGATACATATTATTTTTTAAAAATATAAAAATGTTTTTTTTTAAATAAAAAACGCAACCATACATTTTTAATTTGTAAAATATTAAATTTACAAATTAAAAATTCTCATATTTATGATCGAAATATAATTATTTTTCCAACATGTTATTTATAATCTTCTCCAAAAGTGACGCATCAACAGATGTTGAAAAAATATTTAAAAGCCACGTGTATTATAAAAATGAAACTTTTAACCAATAGATTAATAAACCAGAGGGTAAAATCTCTTTTATTTTTCATCGTAAAAAAGTATGGAGAGTAATCGGGTGGAGTTTTTTCTTCTTCTTTTTTTTTTTAACAAAAACCGTTTGCTACAATGCGTTAAATAAAATTATTTCAGTTTTTACGAGTACGAGAATTTTTTTCAAATCTAAATTTATTTGTCTGTGATTCACATGGGTGCATACTTAATCCTCTTTAAAAAGGGGTTTTATTGCCTCTCTACAATAAAAAAAAAGATGTCGTTAGTTCATTACCTGTACAATATTATTTTTAATCGATTCACGTATTTATAGTATTCGTGTAAAATAAAATAATATCTATTCTAAAATTATATTTATAGAATTCTATATATATATTTTTTTAAATATTTAAAATATATTTTTAATTTTACCTTTCTTTTAAAAAAACCGTTACTAACCCTATATTTTATAAAAAAAAATTTTACAGTACAACTATTTTTTAATTATAATAATGGGAACAAAAATTTGTAATTCGCTCCAAAATCTTTCTGTCGATTGTTTTTTCGAACATTTGAAATTTCGGACAAATGAAAATTCGGTAAATTAGAAATTTTTACATTTAAAAATTCGAATCCTTGAAAATTCTGTTGAATGAGAATTAAGCTAAATTCGGTTAAATTAGAATTCTTTTAAATAAAAAGTTGGCTAAAAAAAATTCTGTGAAATAAAAATTCAGCCGAATAAAAGTTCGGTAACTAAACATTTATTCTAGCAAATAAAAATTTTGCTATTGTAAAAATTTGTTTAAAAAAGCTGGTAAAGGCTAATTTGAAAAATAATAAAGAAAATAATCGAATAAAATTCGTTAAATGGAAAATTCTAATTATTTGTTGGAATAATCACATGCCCCTAGAAATTATCTAATTAATTTTATTAAAAAAAAAAAAAAACGTTAAATAAGAATGATTAATTAATCGGAAGAAAAAAAATATTTGAGCGAAACAAAAGGAAAATTTTAAAGCGGAAATCATGTCCAATAGATTAAATACCAAAAGCGGACGTGTACATAAACGATTCTATTATCACGGCGTAGCACTAATGTTTAAATCGATAGTCGACGGCTGTCGTCGACGGAAAGCGAATTGGGACCCCGTGCTGAGGTGAAGGGAGGTAAAGAGAGGGAAGACGTTCTCCTGATACTCGACGCGATGTTCCGGCTCGTTACCTTGATACATTTCGCACAATTACATTTTTACGTTTACGAAATCGCTTCTTTTTCTCTATATACAGACACATATACACACACGCTCGCCATATCCAGGAAAATTGCGTGGAAATAATTACAGACCTTTTGTTTCAACGCTCGAACGTATTCGGAAAAAAAAGAGGGCGGGGAGGGGGGGGATTTTTCTCTCTTCAGTTGGACGAAAGGGAAGATAGGTTCGGTTCGGGAGATCGCGCTCTGATAAAGATAAAACCGATGGCTCGACGAGCCTCTCGTAATTCTTTTGTCTCATTTGGTAAATACCTGGAAATTACTTTAAATGATGCTTAAAAAAAGAATACATCTTCCCTTTTTTTGCGATAAAATACGACTTTGAAAAAAAAAATATATATATAATTGTTTTTTTTCCTTACTCTCAAATTTCTTTTTTTTGTTTCAACTATATAGAGTTGGAAAATAAATTCTAAGCTCTCAGGATTCGATCACGATTCTTTTTCCCATTTTTTTGTGGCTCGGGACTTTAATTAATTGGATAATTTATAGAAGGGGAAAAAAATTCTCATTGTGGGGGGTTAAAATAGACGATTCTTTAAAATGGTAATTGTTTTTTTTTTAAGTAATGTAGAGAAAATTGGGATATAGTACTGAGAAAGTAAATGTAAAATAAGGAATGTCAGGGGATGTAAATATTGGTATACGAATTATTTTTATTTTAATACTTTTGCTAATTAGTAGTAAAAGTATTTTTAGTCAGGCTGGACAAAATTTAAATTACCGACATTTTTTTGTATCAGGATAGTCAGTTTTAGCTAGACAAAAATATTTAGAAATTTTTTTCTATTTAAATATCAAGGTAAATATATAATTCCACAATCGGTAATAAAAATTCAGTTTCTGACAGACGAAATGTTTTGAATTCCTGAAATTTCTTAACAATAGTAAAAGTACCTATGTTTTAGTCAGATATATTTTTATCACGAACTCTCACAAGTTTTGAACATCGTTAACAATAAATACAATAAGAAAATATTTAGGAGATCGCAATTTTATTTCCCCCTTTGTGAAAAAAGTTGTGAAAATAATATTTCAGCGTCCTTCTACTGTGTGTGTCAATTTGAGCGTGAAATCCGGGTAAAAAGGAAACGTACATGTTCTGAAATAAAAAAAAAAAAAGTGTGATTTATTATGACGAGGCGTTTTCAGTGTAATATATATAGAGAGAGAGTTAGAAGGAGGGTTAGTCATACTACGTCCGCAGTAATATTTCGATGTTCGATGGACGTAAACTCATGGTGCCACTTGCAAACTCCACATTCGGTCCCTTGTTCAATGTTGTGGTTCGTGTGAACCTTAACCTCCACTCGAGTTTAGCGCACTATAACGAGATAACGACCAACACTGAAAGATATATCGTATGGCAGGGTACGAAATTAACTAAAGTTACCCCTCCCCCCTCACCCGTACTCCTGACAAGTCTCAAGGACAATATAACAAACTCCTAAACTGTTCTCTCACTCTCCATACATTCTTGGAAATTATTACATTTATTTAGCCGAATTTACTTTTGGTCAAATTTTTTCATAGTCATGAATAAGCTCTAAAATTTGTTTGTTTGAATTTTATTGGATAGAATTTATTTTTGAATTTTTATTTATTCGAATTATTATTTAGCAGAAATTCCATTTAACCGAATTAATTTTGGCTGAATTTTCATTTGTTCAAATTATTATGTAACAGAAATTCCATTTAACCGAATTACTTTTAGCCGAATTTTGATTTATCCGAATTATTCTTTAGCAGAAATTCCATTTAACCGAATTACTTTTGTCCGAATTTTCATTTATTCAAAGTATTATTTCACAGAAATTCTATTTAACTGAAATTACTTTTGGCCGAAATTTGAATTTTCCAAATTATTATTTAGCAGAAATTCCTTTTTAAATGAATTTTTATTTGTTCGAATTATTATTTAACAGAAATTCTATTTAACCAAATTACTTTTAGTCGAATTTCGATTATTCCAAATTATTATTTAGCAGAAATTCCATTTAACCGAATTACTTTTAGCCGAATGATTATTTTTCAAAAATTCCATTTAACTAAATTTTTTATTTTTCTAAATTATTATTTAACAGAAATTCCATTTAACCAAAATTAATTTTAGCCAAATTATTATTTAGCAGTAATTCTATTTAACCGAATTACTTTTGTCCGAATTTTCATTTATTCAAAGTATTATTTCACAGAAATTCTATTTAACTGAAATTACTTTTGACCGAAATTTGAATTTTCCAATTTATTATTTTGCAGAAATTCCTTTTTAACTGAATTTTTATTTGTTCGAATTATTATTTAACAGAAATTCTATTTTACCAAATTACTTTTAGCCAAATTTCGATTATTCCAAATTATTATTTAGCAGAAATTCCATTGAACCGAATTACTTTTAGCCGAATGATTATTTTTCAAAAATTCCATTTAATTAAATTTTGATTTTTCCAAATTATTATTGAACAGAAGTTCCATTAACCCAAAATTACTTTTAGCCAAATTATTATTTAGCAGAAATTTTATTTAATCGAATTACTTTTAGCCGAATGATTATTTTTCAAAAATTCCATTTAATTAAATTTTGATTTTTCCAAATTATTATTTAACAGAAATTCCATTTAACCATAATTATTTTTAGCCGAATTATTATTTTGCTGAAATTCCATTTAACCAAAATTACTTTAAGCCGAATTTCGATTATTCCAAATTATTATTAAGCAGAAATTTTATTTAATCGAATTACTTTTAGCCAAATGATTATTTTTCAAAAATTCCATTTAATTAAATTTTGATTTTTCTAAATTATTATTTAACAGAAATTCCATTTAACCATAATTATTTTTAGACGAATTATTATTTAGCAGAAATTGCATTTGACCAAAATTACTTTTAACCAAATTAATATTTAGCAGAAATTCCATTTAACCGATTGATTATTTTTCAGAAATTCCATTTAACTAAATTTTGATTTTTCCAAATTATTATTTAACAGAAATTCCATTTAACCATAATTATTTTTAGCCGAATTATTATTTAGCAGAAATTCCATTTAACAGAATTTTTATTTTTACATTCTCTTGAGTGAAAAGAAAATGAAATAAAAATTTGACATGTTGACGAATCGCAATTTTTCTGAATTAAAATTCGATTTCTGAAATAAAAAAATTGAGAAATATTCCAACACCCCGGGGGAGGGGGGGTAATTTTTGACATTAAAATAGATAAAAAGCCATAAAATTATTTGACACGGATATGTTTGAGAGAGAGAGAGAGAGAATGGGATATATTATTTTGACCCTAAAAACAAACAAAAACGAATAGACATTGTATATATAGGGCAAAGAGGGAATCCGTTCGACCAAGAGGTATCAAAGATCCTTAGGGGGTTCTATGTGAAAGTCTGACAGACGTGAGGATAAAACTTTTGGAGCCATCTAAATCAACAGTGTAGCTATACAGATTCCAAAG